CCGACAATTCAACCATTGTTCAAACTGGCTCCGGTTTATTGGCCCCGTCTTCCATAAAAGGTGGGCTGAGAGTGGGTCGCATCTCATTGAATTCTCGTCCTCCCTCGTCCTCTCTGCCATCCTCCCCTGCATATATCACAATGACAACGTGGCCACCGGGCATGAGGAGCTGCGTATTGGAGAGGCGTAGCCCTCAGGCTCGCTTGGACTATATGAACGAGGAACAAAGGAACGTCCATATCTGGAACTCGGCACCAGTCCGGCGGGATTCGAATAGGCGGCCCAAGGCTTTCAGACTACTCGCTAGTACTTGCTATTCGATTCTGTCGCGCTGCCCATCATTAACTGCCCGATATACAGGTTTATATGTCGATGCAACGCACAGACCGCTGCGAACTCACACCTTATATCGGTGGCTGGACTTCATGACCGACACACAGAGCATGGATCCCATTACTTTCGCGGCGGACCCTGGGAACGATGATTCGAAGAGTACGTCTTTCAATTACGGCCTCGTCGCTAGACTTTGACCTATTGTCAGCATTTCGTCTGTTGCAAGTTCCCGATCCTAGAACGTCCGATTTTCCGACCCCCCAGCAACTCACCCTTTGCCGCCCCATGCGTGCCACGCGGAACCGCTCAGATCAATTTGTGGAGCAGGGTCACTACATCATTGTGAAGGTTCACCGGAGGGGAACCACCGAACGTGTGTCCCATTTCACGCAGTTCCCGATGACAATGAATTTTTATATCCACAGGACTCGACGCTCACACCTTTGACACACACCCTCCTGTCATCGACAAGAGGTCCGTTTCCAGGACTGCAACAAACAGCGCGGTTGCACGTGTTCGTGTATTCGTAGGATTTGTCGGTGTGAGACTGACCTTGTTCGTAGCACGGCGGGACTCGCACCGATGCTCGTTACCGTGACTTGCAATGTCGAATCAGTGGGCAGGTGGCACCCACGGGATCCCGGGGATGGGACTTCACTGGCCTGGAAGTCGCGCATGTGTTTCCACTGAATGCGCATTCCAAGGTGAATATTCCCCAAGTTCTCTTCCACCGGACTCGATGCTAAGCATCTCCAGTTTCCCACCGCATTCAGTTATGATCCCCATAAAGAGGAACTCTACGACAGCCTAAGTATCCCCAGGCAGCCAGGGATACGTCAAATCGATCTTCCCGCAAACACCCTACTTTTGCGGGCCGATATACACTCTCAATTTGATGCATACCAATTTGGGATTGAATCGAACTATGACCCAGAGGTGAGATTCCGAGCCAGTCTCGACTTTGGAAGGGAAGAGGGAAGGTTTATTGTTTATCCAGGCAAAGACATGGTCCGGTGCATTCATTCGTGTGTTCGAAAGGGATGGCGCCTTCAGCATCCCGAGGGACCGAATACGCGTCCTGAACGGGCGTCACCCTGAGGGTACTGGAGGAGTTCGTGATGTTCACCCCCTTTTCACCACTCATCACCTTTTAACGGGGCTTCTGTGGCACGTCGCGGGTAACGGTCTGAACCATATGGCCGGTGCTCTCATTCCACACCGTATGCGTAATTATCTCACAGGACGGGACACAGTGTGAAGATAGGGAATGTGGAATGTCTAGGCAACGGTGAAACTTCAAATTGGGTGAAAGTGTCTTGTGTATCGGGTGAATGTGTCTTGTGTATGTAATGAAATGGAAACCGAGAGTTCTCGCATGCCTTCCTGTTCAGGCTACGGTCACCCCGTGCGCTTCGCCTAGGTCATCTACGTGCCGCACCAAAACGGCCAAAAGAAACGCCACACGGCCCGTCGAAAGTCGGCCCACGAACCGAACGAGATCACCTGGCGTTTTGGAGAGATAACGGAGTCGCATCGACAAGGACGAAGGAATGATTTCCTCGCTTCGCTGAAGGACCGAGGGTACGAGATGATTGTAGCTGTCTATGAGAGCCTGGAAAGACATACAGATTGCTCACCAGCTAAGTTAAAAGAATCCTGGAGCGGACGCCGGAAACCTTATATTCGGACACCGGGTCCGGGAGTCCGAACGGCGCCGAAGTCGAGCCTGACTCCCACTTAGCGTAGCCATTCCCGCAAAAGGAACGGGAGTGCGCGCCGCGCACCATCCTAGCTCCCGGTTGCTCAGCCAATGCCGTTTCGTAAAGTCAACCTAAAGTAAGTAGTTGAAAATATTCACACCAGGAAAAAGGAAAAACAGGCTGGGAGGATAACGTCCCTGAAAGCATTAGTTTAGTGTGCAAATCATTTCCGGCTGAAATTCCCACGAAACCGCTGAATTCGCCCAGTCGAAAGCGTTGCCGAGAGCGGTGAATTCGGCAGTGGCTTCAGCCGGGCTGATGGCACCTGTTTCGGCAACAATGTAAGCTGCGCCGAAGGCGAGGCTGAAAGCTATGATTTCAGCCGCACATCCAGACGGCAGGAAACAATTGGTTTCAGTGCCAGTTTTGGCCAGGTAGCCTAAACAATAGGTTACAGACTGGCCGAAACTATGTTCTATTGTTTTCAGCCCAGCCGAAACCGGCAAGGCGACAGTTTCGGCCGGCTTGAAGCTATTGTCTTTAGCCACATGCCAAAGTCGCGGCCGAAACTAATTGTTTCTGTGGATCTCACAATGTAGCTGAAACCATTGGTTTGAGCACCAATTCCCGCTATCTCTTAGTGGGTTTTTGCAGTGATCCTAAATCCATGATCGAACGCGTTTTTTGTCTGTTTACTTATGGGGGTACTTTCTGACCGCCGCTCGTGATGGCGATGATCTCTGCACCTTACATCTTGACTGCCGTTCTGTTCTTCGTGATGCGTGCGCTGATGACCCCACTCTGTGGCTCTCATTTGACTGATGCTCCCAGTTGTCGGGCCACATCTGTTTGGTTACGCCCCTATGTGTCCACTTCGAAATGTTTCCCCTGTACTAAGGCGTCCCCTCCTGTGCTCCTTGTCTCCTCCGCCCATGTCGAGGTCCCACCCTCCTCTGTGACTTTCTCCCGTGCCGCAAACCTCGCTATCTCCATCCTTCCACTCCCGCTGTTCTCACAAGCCTAGACCCCCTCCATCGCTCTCAGAATCAACTGGTCAATGCACGACATCGGGGTCAAAACTACATCGGCGCGGGGATTGACTTGGCGTGGGTTCGGGTTTGGTTTCCTTTCAGGTGTGCTTTGTGCTGCGTTCTCGCTGGTGGTTACCTTAAATAATGTTTGCTCCCACCCGCAGCTTCTCGTGAGGCTTCAAGTTCGAACTTTCGGGCGTCAGAGCGCAACGCCGTTCAATTTTGACGTGAGTGCGAGTAATTATGTATGCCCCGTTCCTTCTATACATTTGTACCCTTCCCTTGACTGATCTATTCTCACTAGGTCCAGGTCCGAGTCTCCAAAAACTCCGTTCTCGGCGCGTTCAACTCACGACGCTGGTTGAACTTGGTATGTTCAAAGCTACCGGGTCGACGACCTCGCGCCGGTCAAGTTTGACCTCAGGTGAGTCCCACCCTCTTCTCTTTCTCTAATTCTCTCATTACTGACCTCGTCTCTCGTTCCCGGGTCTTCGAAAAATTGAACCTCAAATTCAAGTCTTCGGGTGGCGGAGGCGGGGTTGGCTTTGGCATTTTGGTTCAAGGTGCGTCGTTTACACTCAAATCACTCCGTGCCGACTGACCTTGCCTCCCAGTATCCAAAAACTCTCATCACGGCGTGCGTCGAGCCAACGCACGACGCTGGTTTGACTCGGGGTTGAACCTATGTTGAAAATTATCGCGTCGACCTCGCGCCGCTCGAGTTTCACCTCGGGTGAGTCTACCGTATCGCTCTTATTTTTATCGACGCTACTGACCTCGTCTTTCGTTTCCAGGTCTCCACTTAATTTGAACTTGACGTAACTTGACGTGAAGTCTTCGAATGGGGTATTTGGGTTCAAAGTACGCCATTAACCACTTTACGATAATCTGTGCCGTGGTGCGCTTGAGTGGTACCTGGCATGTGTGGAAGGGAGATAGCGGGCTCTGCCGCGGCACGCGGGCTACACCGTTTATTTCAGCTGGGGTTCAATTGTGCCTGAAATGTAAAGAATCTGCCAGGCCGATTTTGTTACTGAAGCCGTCAGTTTCGGCAACCTTTTCGACACACTGAATTTCAACGGTTCGGGGTCCAGTTTCAACCTGATTCTACTCAGCAGCCTAAACTACTGCTTTCAGGAACGTTTTCGACGCAGCCAGTTTTTCCTTCTTGGCGGTGTGATTCAAAATCGAACCAAAAGTCTGTCGCTCTAAACCACGGAAAACGATGTGGCTATGCTGATGGGTGACGGTAACGACGTGACCCGCCTTCTTCCAAACCACCACGTCTCTCTGCGGCACTCTCCATGAACAGAGCCTTCAACATTCCCAAGTTTTGCAGCTCGTACTGCTGTAGATCTGCCCCCACCGTACCCGGGATCCGAGCGAAGAACAAACAAAGAAGAAACTTGCGTCGCAACGTTCGCGCGCACGTGCCAAATTCTCAGCGGCCCTTCGCTGGATGCGCCCTGCTCTTTCCATGATATCTACGTCAATATTCTGAGGTGCATGCCTGCGGATCCTTGGAGCGAAAGCTGGGTCAGTTTTCTTGTTGCGACTCAAAAAGAATCCTGTGTTCCTTCGAAACCATACCCCAAACTCAGCCTGCTGCCCTCCGAAGCGGTCCGCGACAACGAACGTCATAATCTCACATTGACCGTTCCCGGGACAGGCCGTTGAGTCATCCTTCGTTCATGGACTCACCCACATCGAATCGCGCATATTCTCGACACGCTCGTCCTCGACTCCATCTCTGGCACTGCAGCAACGCTCGTTACTCACCTTTACTCACTGGACAGCAACTCCGACTCGTTCAGGCGCTCAGCTCTCGGACCGCAACCGTCCTGCGGCACACGCAAGCGACTTCACTCGACAACGGGGATCAAAAGACCAAAACGGTGCATCTCCGTCGCCTCTCGCGACGACGGCAGCGACTCCTCTGCTCCTATGAGGGTCGAACTCATGATCTCACGATTGCGGCGACAGCTAACAGTCGTGCGCCGTAACCAGCTTGGCCAAGGAGCAGTTGAGGTCGCCGTGAAAAACGGATCAGTCGATTTCCTGTGATGTAAGTAACTTAACCATCCTCGCCCGCCTTTAACTAGCGAGGATCCCCGTCTCTGCGTCCAGGCCGCCCTGCTTACCATCCGACCTAGTTTGGTGGTTTCCTTTCTCTCGCCTCAAAATCCCCAAGGCTACTGCGCCCGGTTGCCCGAGCCTCATACTGACGCTCGTTTAACCGTTGGCATAATTTGGGCATAAACACGGTGCTACCCACAGGCCTGATGGAGTGCGGCTACGCGAGCAACGCTGGCTCCAGCGCTACCGCCCGTTCGATTCGGGACCAGGTCGTCCTTGGGCGAGCTGCTGCGCGTATTTTTTTATTTCTGGTCGCTTGCTAAATTTCTCACAGGCAATTCCTTTCCCGCCGCGCCTTGCCTCCCGCATTCTCGTTATCCTGCACCAAGGCTGCCCCCTGGAGTGTATCCTTCGAAGCTTCTCATTCACACTTGCAGGTAGGGCGCGGAACTGGCGCCGGAGACGCGTCTTCCCTCCGCAACGGCCATCCCAACCAAGTATTCAACCAGCGCGCTCCTGAGTAATGCATCTCTTTCGAGAGGGGAGCTCGGACGCAATGGAGTCCTTTTTCTACTCAAGTCACGGGTAGTCTCATTCACAATCGCGGGACGTTGCACGTCGCAAACGTTCAGCCGTGGGAGTTGCAGCGCAAGGTCCCGTTTGACTCTAGTGCGCCCTCCGTCCCGTCAGATTTCATGTCCTGAGAGCAACTGCCAGTTTAGACGCAATCTACCGACGTAGGGATTTCAAAAGAAACATCAACCGCCGTCATGAATATAACCCAGCCCCGAATCGAACGAGGTCAGTCTGCATTGGATTACGAACTCCACACGCATTGGTAGCAGACGCGGGCCGGCGTCACTCAGGCTGGGTCTCAAAGAGTTTGTATCCGTGGCAGATTTAGAGTGGTGTTCCCCCCGGTGGGTCTGGGCTCGGTGCACGCTTTGGATGAGGCCAATTGTCAGGTGCAGTTCATTGAGGCTCCAGAGCGAAAAAAAACTCACTTTGTCAAGAAATAGTACTTGCTCCCGAGTCGAACGCGAGACGTCTCCTCTGGCTATGCATTGCCGAGATGTGGAGCGGCGGGCTACCAAGCTTCAGGTGTACATTGCTGCAAGAAGGATATCTGGTTAGGCTGGAGAGCAGAAGGCTAATGTAATTGGGCAAGCAGAACGTTGGTATAGTACCCGGTGGGTTATAATTATACAGGTTGTGCGAAGACGCGAGTCCGTGGATCATAACCCAAGCAAAAGGCGGCGGCGTGGGTGATCTGCATCATCAAGTCAATATACGCCTCGCAATGAAAGAAAATGAACACGCACCACCATCCCTCGCAAAGCGCGGGGTTCAATGCTGGCGCCTCCGGCTTGCGTCCTACGGCGAAGCCAAGGATACTAAGGCGACGCTTTTGCTGCTTCGCGCGCTCCTCAGCGGTCTGTGCCGGAGCGACGGGCGGTGCGCCGTGCCGCGGGGGAGGGAGTAGGTCGTCGGATCCGCGCGAGGTGGTGAAGGGCGGCGGGACGGGCGCGGGATATGGGTACGGCGCGCTCGTCGTGGAGACGGTGGTGGTGACCACGATGGGGTTGTCGGAGTCCGTCATGCAGACGCTACCGCTCGATGAGGCGAGGGAGGCGAGCGACGCGATGGAGGCGATGGAGAGGCGCTTGGACGAGCGCTTGGATGCGGTGATGGTGGTGCTGATGCGGAAGGTGGCCATTGCGGTAGACTTGGGTAGATGGGGAAGTGGGATGAAGTGTGTGGTTGGTAGTGGTGGTGCGCGTCGGTTTGTAGGAGAGGGGTGAATTTTGCGGGCCTTTTATATGTGGCGAGCGTGTCTCGGAAGTAAAAATTCCGAAGGTGAACCCAAGACAGGGGAGGTCTAGACCAGTGAAGGGGTGTTCGGGTCTCAGTTGTGCGATTGCTCTGTGGCATTTATAGCATGGGACACGTCGAGATCACAGCAGGAAGCTTATGAACTTGGGATTACCAGGTTGAACTGGGCATTGCCGACTTGGAAATTGTGCCGCGCTGGGTGCGCCAATTGAGCTGTGACAAAGCCAATTCATCTGGGCGGGTCTAGACCGGCGGAAGAGAGTCTAGGGTTCACTTCAGGCGTCTCTCTCAGGTGAGACCGTGCACAGGAGAACGGGAGGTCTTCCGTACGCGAATTCAACCTACTGACGCGGATTTTTTAACTGGCTCAGGTATTTCCAGCTCGTGCCTGGAGCTGGACGAACGCTGAGCGAATTGAAACATTCCCAGTGCCCGACTGCTTGTCGGCCTCTGGCCCTGCGAACACTGAACCCGACAGAGCCCGGGAAATGCCGAGGTCCGCCGGCTCGGCACAGCCTGTGACGTTATGCCATCACCCCTCCTGCTTCCGCACCACCACCACGAAATGCGCGCCTACTACTTCGACAACGTCCCCGGCGACCAGCGCCTTCCGCACGACTACGTCCCCTCGCGCCCAGTCGCCCCTGACATCCTCAAAGCCCTCAACGTGCTCGCATGGACCATCCCTGTCGAGGGCTACGAAAGTTCGGTGAATGCGATCGCGAAGGAGCGCGGGTACAAGAATCGGGATACCATCGACGTCTCGAAGGAGGGCATGGGTGAGATATACGAAACGAAGATCAAGGGCTTTTTTGAGGAGTGCGTCGCTACTTTTCTGCAGCGGTTCCCATAATGGTGATTTACGGCGCGCAATGGCAGACACATGCACGAGGACGAGGAGATTCGATTCATTCTGAGCGGGAGTGGTTTCTTTGACGTCCGAGGTGTGTATTGTGTTTACCCTTGTCGCCTCGCCGCCTAAGCTCCGCTCACAGAGACGCCTACGGACGCCTGGATCCGGCTCGCGGTAGAGCCCGGGGACCTCATCGTGCTTCCGGCGGGAATCTACCACCGTTTCACCCTCGACGAGGCGAACCGAATCAAGGCGCTGCGGCTTTTCCAGGTACGAATCTTGCTGTTGTTTATTTTGCTTGATTTCCTTCGAATTCGGATCCGCTCGCCATTCTGAGCGGGGAGGAATCGTTGTGCTCTGATGCCGTTGGGCTGGAACTGCCCGTCAACCGTCTGTAGCGCAGCCGGTCCTTGCAGCCCTGGCTTCCGAGTCCCCCGTATCTCGGTCGCGCCATCCCGACTCCAAGCACGTCATCCTTTGTTTCCTCACTTCCACCTCAACCAACTTCGCCCAACTAACTAATTATTTCCGCTCCCAGGACGAACCGAAATGGATCCCGCACAACCGCAACAGCGACACGGACACCAACCCGCACCGTGTTGGGTATCTGAAGGAGATCGGGGTCGGTGCGTAGGTTCAAGATGCGTGCATCGCCGAGGAGAAGACATTTGAATTACGAAGAGGAAATTAAACTCGCAAGAAACTGCAGATGTACGGTAGGACTTCGGCTCGGTGGGCGTCTGAACTTCAACTCCCAGCCTCCCACCTCTCCTGCGTTGCACAGACTCGCAACAACCACGGACGGTCAGTCGTCGCGGCTTCAGGTTTCATGGCGAACCGCGGGCCGTCAAGTCACCTCTCCTCTCAAACAACGCCCAAAATACTCAGCCCGCAGAACAACCGCAGCACAGAGCCCGGTGCGAAATACATTCCTTTCACCCGGACTGCTTCATTCGAGGCAAACTGTGTTAACAAACTCGCCTGGCCATACGCTAACCAATTCGCCTGGCGATGCGGCCTGGAGCGTTGAAACTATGCTGCGAATGCGGCGGAACCGACGTTTCTTGCCTCTTACTTTCCCAAAAACAGTCGCCGCTAGCACTCAGAACCTGCGAGTCCAGATCAATGTGAGGTGTGAGGTGAGTCGTTAGTCTCTGATTCACACCTTGAGAACTTATGTCCAATAGAATCCCAGACGGTACGGTCAACGGATCGTGAGAAAGCGTTTCAAGCGACAAAATAGCAGACGCAAAAATGCGTCTGGTGGACGTTCATGGCTTGCTCCCGGATCGAACGGAAGACGGCTACATTTACTAATCCGTCAGATGACAGAGGATTACTTTCTATTACTTCAATCGTCTGTCTTCCGAGTTCAAATAATCATTAATGATTATTTGAACGATGATTGCTCGGATGCGTCACAACGGCTCTGCCAGATCCGGATCTGCCTCCAATCTCGGCTCAAACGTGGCAAATGCATCTTTTGTCTTTTGCCGCGCGAACGATTGAGTCAACCACGGGAACAGGTTGAAGCGGAACTTATGGTGTCTCTCGTCATATGCCATGAAGCATTCGAGCTCTATGACTGCAACCATTAAGTCAGTCGAACACGCGACAGCAGAAAGTCGGTGGATGCTTGTGGCAAGATCATTCTGCTGTGGTGCATCTACCGCCGCAGCTGGGGCAGCATTGCGGAGATGTTCGAGGGTCTCTGCCGTTTTAGACGGAAGCTTGTCAGAAGCGCATGACGCCAGGGAGTCGGCCAGGAGATGAATTTTTGCCTCCTGAACCGTTCGGAACCGGTTGGCGTCTGGAAATATTCGCACCAGTAAACCATCGTCGACGGTTTTGTCCAGTGAGACTAGAATCCGTATCCCGAGGAGTGCGAGCAGTGACGTGGAATGCGCACTTGTGCCTGAGCCGAGGATATCATATCGTGGATGTCTGGGAAGACGGATGAGGCGTCGACGTGATAATCCCAAGACACCAGTGACCATGGCCCACAGAAACGACGTTATGGTCGTTGAAGACTCGGCCTTTCGGTTGGCGCAAATTCAAGCGTGAAGGGGACGGAGCGTCAAAGATAAGGAAGAATCTCGCATGCCACCTGCCGCCCAGGCGGCGGGAGATGCACACAAGTTGGACAAGCCGGCCGAAAGAATCAAGGAAGCGGACGACGAGGGTTTAGCCGCAGAATACAGTGTTCGAGAAAATGAGTGACTGGTGGATCGAGAGGGTAGGAGACCCCAAGAGTCGGAGC